AGTCTTAGTAGGGTACTCCAGTACGACATCCCTCCTCCCTACCCCGATCACCACCCTCACATTCATGGCTGTTACAGTAATTGATTCCGAGACGAGTCGGCACACCAAGCTCCCTCCACCTTTCCCTCCAAACCGCCATCGAGCTGCTGGTAAATTGGTATTCCGAAGCATCGAGTCCACCAATTCTGTCTGGTTTACCCTACTTTCGTGAAGCTTTTGCCAAATTTCTCGATTGAATGCATAGGAGCCAGAAATTCGTCCATCAACCCGTCAAAGACAACCCCTTTCCTACGACCCATGCGAATGGTTGACACTACACCGGCGGCACATTGCGCTAAGTCCACTTTCCGCGCAAAACTAGTCAGCAATATTTTAAAACAGTCGATAACCAGAACAAATGCGAAAGCAAATGCGCTGAAGACCAAAAATGTGCCAAGTTCTCGTCTGCTTTCCTTTTCAAAGTGAATTTAGCGCGAGTAATAAGCACTTCCAAATCTATCGCTGTGCATAGCTACTAAAAATTCGAAGAATTTCCTGGTTTTTATTTAGATTTGGACCATTATGCACACAATAAGAGGCATGCCACGGCGGAGCAGCTCCTTGGACTCTGACGGTGGACAGAATCATCTAATAGATGCGATTGCTTCACAAGTCGACCATCAGACGGTTAACAACATAATTGATGTCCAACGGCAGAGGTAAGTTGTTTGTTTTCTATTGCTGAGTATGAATCATATGCTATTCGAAGATCTTTATTTATTGTATTATTTATGATGCACCTGAGGTGCGTCCGTCATGTACATAAAGTCAATATAGGGATAAAACAAAAGAACTTATGTCTTAAACCCCATTTCGTTTTTGTTACTGAAAGTTGGCTCAATCCCAAAATTTCGGATAGCGAGTTACTTTCTGATCTTCCCCTATGGGTATTGTCAGGAAGGATAGAGTCGGTAAACGAGGAGGGGGTTTGTGCGTTCTTCTGCAAAGACCATATTGATTTTCAATTGATCCCATTCGACACTTTCGAATTTTTGCCTCTGACGTTCTCTGTTTCGGAAACATTCTGCACCTCGCTAGAACATATTCGCTTTGTATTAGTATACCGCCCTCCCAATCAGTGCGTACCAGATGATGAAGACTTGGTAGTTTGCTTTCTGATTTGTTTGCTACTTCTTTGTCACGTTTTGTTTTACTGGGCGACCTTAATCGATATTGATTTTGCGCCCATCACGACGCTAGTGTCCTGTTGCTCGCCGAGTCTAGGTTTTCGTTTTTTGTCGCTTTCTCTGCGTTACATTTATGTGTGTTCCCTGTTGGTACACTGAGGCAGATCCAGTACCTAGGTTTCCTTGCACAGCGCATCAGCGACTGTGTGACCGGAACAACATTTCGGAACAAAGGAAAAACGTGTCGGAGAAAAAAAACTCAGCGAGCTGTCAGGCAGTGTTAGCCACCCTCCAGAGGGTTTTACTTGGGCCTTTTCAAGCTATCGGCACTGCTAGTACCCTGCGTCAGTCGTGAATGCAACTTGCAAATGTTCAAATCAACTCATCTTGATCCGCATACCGGTACAAGATAGCTAAACCTTGGCACGCCACCGTCCATTTCCCACTGCCTCGCAGGCCCAACTTCCTTGCTTCAATGTTGTGTCCTCCATCCGATAGATTTCAAGCATGTTCAACTTGACATCGCCATCAATTTGTCCTAGTAGTGTCAAATCATCCCGCATTTAATCTTGCTGAAGCATACTTCTTTCTGCTGCAAGATGGTAGTAAAGTTTGGTATCATCTGTTACATACGAAATTTCCAAGCAAATCTATCAGAAAACCTGTCAGACCTATGGTTGGATGACTGTCGATTTATTCAGCTTGCGGCGCTTCGAGAAGACAAATGAAATGCTATCAAACTGCACACACTTGAGTGAACGCCGTCTAGAAAGAGCAAAAAAGGATGCCAATGTCTACAGAGAAACCATTATGCAGGTAGAACCACTTCTTTTTTCCTCGATTTCAAAGAAAGTTGAAGTTTGTGGGAGTTAGAGATAGTGCATGGCGCGACAGGCAATTCGCCAAAGGTCTTCCTTCTGCTTTTTTGTGAGGTGCACGTCGCGCTACGTCCTGTTACCACGTATCCTTTCCACAAACAGTCTGACCCTCGATGGGTGTCCCGCTGTGAACCCTATCCAAATTGGGCTATCAAACCTAGTCGTGTGACCTTGAAGCGCTTAACAGCTAGCTTGGAAGATCCTATGTTCAACATGTTTCTCGTCGTGCTGTGGGTCTCCTACACGACAGTCCACATCTCGAAGTCTGACTGGACCACCGGAAATGACGTGACACGGCATTTGACAGAAAATCAGAATCGCCATTTTCATGAAAAAATGCGTTTTTGTAGTGTGAACATTCCATCTCTATCCTTATTTTGTTATTCCTGTCTCTTGATTCAGCATAAATTACTATAGGAAAAGATGAGAAAGAATCGCGTAGGCAGGCAATATTTATGCATTTGCAGATGAAATCGGACTTGGAGTTCATATTCAGAAAGATCCGACTCTTCAAACAAACTCTTTCAACAAATTACCCTGAGATATACAGTGAAGGTTTGTACCGTAGTCAAAGAATCAAATCATCTACGACAAATTGTGAAAAAAGAGTAACAGTAACAAATTTCAGCAGAGAAACAATGCAAAGCTAGAATGTCAGAGGAGAAAGACGAGTAGTGTTCGCGATAAATGGAGGAGCATCTCTATGGCCGAGTTTTCACAGATGAAACATCTCGTGTTAGTGCTTTTTCTTCTTCTTCGATTTTTTATCATCCTCAGAGGAACTACTTGAGTGCCTCCTTCTTTTCCTGGATTTCTTTCTGCTATGGCGGTCGTTTTCGTCGTCAGAACTACTGAAAATTGCGAATAGTTAATATGTCGGAGTTTAACACAAAAGCAATGATCTCACCTAGTACTGTGTTTTCTATGTTTTTTCGTCTTTTTATGTTTTTTCTTGGCTTCCTTCTTTTTGTGTTTCTTCTTATGCTTCTTCACTAAAATATGTTAATGTATGTGATGTAAGATGTATAGAAACTCATAATTCGGAGTAAATCACTTTACCAAGAGGTGTTTCTGCGTCGCTTTCGCTGCTGGTTGAGCTTACATCAATGACAGTAGACTGGCCGGGTTTTAATTGAATGTAGTTCCGACACTGAAAAGTCTCGATTATAATCATCCCATAAACATGCAGATGATGAAGTTACTGGCTCCCCCACTTTCTTCACGATTTGGGGCGCGGCCGCGGCGAGCGCGGACGAGTCGATAGTGCCCGCGAACTGTGTGGGTAAATTTGAAAACGCATCACCACCACAGTTCGCGGGCACTATCGACTCGCCGCGCCCCAAATCGTGAAGAAAGTATGGGAGCCGAAGTTACTAGGCTCACCTGAAATGGAAGATGCCCAGGGTATCCGCATTTTCGGCACGCACCCGTTACGATTTGCCTCACTTTAGCGAGACCTGTTACATCTGAAAGGTACGAACTTGATAATTCTGCAATTATTAAACTTAAAATGCACTTCTGCAGAAATGGCTACATTTTGTCGCA